ACATTTCCAGAAATACATTAAGATATCATTTTTTTATGTACGCTAATACAGATATATATTTAAAATCGTTATTTTTTATTTGTATATGTTTGGACGACACTACCAGTAGGTGTGATCACGCGAAAAACAGGAGAGTCTAAATATCATATATGGAATACAAACTTACTAGCACCAAGCACATACCAAGCACGCAATAAATTAAAACAACATGGAATTTACATAGTACCCTGGTTTTTCTAATTACTATCATTCCTATTTGTCACGAAATGCAGCCACCAAGTTAAAGCCACATTCGAGCAATTCTTTCAAAATTATCCAACTGTACTTATGGTATCTTCGAACGATAAAGACAAATCATAATACGAATATTTCTTGTACACAACATTTTTTGTAATAGTTTTAACAATGATTAATTTCTTGGATCACAGCGAATAACGTAGCTGTGAAAAAATTTGTTTAATAAATGCACAATAATAAGCAATAGATATATTTAGAAAATCACTCTTTTTCAAGAAAATAGATTTAAATGTGTACATAGAAATTATACATCCTAAGACGTTACGTACGTTTGTGTCCAAAGGAAATATCGAAAGTTTTTGAATTTAATTTCTTTTTTGAAAGATTGACAGAATTTTCTCAATTGTACATTATGTTTAAAATCAATTTCTTGCATTTGTATTTACAATAAATTATATTACAAAAGTTATTTGATAAATATTAAGATTCAAACTAGAAACGTACAGGACCTCCATTTCTGATTGCTTTCCAAAGTAAGATCATATGGAGAAAAATTCCACACGTATGCGAAGTGTAGGTCCCAAATCGATTACCGGATAGACAGATAAGGCGCAACTTCATAATGCAGATAATTCGCTAATTTCTAATTTTGCACTTGAGATCACATTTAAATGAGGAAATCAAAAGTACCGTTAACAATAAGAAAATAAGAGAGAAGTGTACTCATGCCCGAATTACATATCGTCGGAAATATCCACTCGGGAACAGATGGTGATAGACTCACATGATGACTCTCTGTACAACGTTACATAAATATGATAACGAATTATATCAAGACGATCGCATAAACGACGCTATTATGTCATTAATGCGTGGAACATAAACGTCATGATGTGCAAAAAAACTAATTACGAGCACGGACAGTAGAACGAGAGATCGTTTTGCAATACTTTTGTAGACGTCCGAATCGGTCGAAGATCGCCTGACAGAAAAAACACGATCAAATAATTACATAGATTAAATTTCTATTCGGCATATGTGTAATCCAATGAATTACTGTAATTTACAATATAATTGAAATCATTGTAGATTCATGCTCAGTTTAGGCGTTTACTGAGTAGGAGATCATAAATATGAATCGAATAATCTGTTCATAAGATAAATTTCAGATGAAGTTCAGGCTGTACGGAGATCTGTATCTCGAGGATGCGGACATCTGGAGCGAAAAAGGAACGTTGCCGTAAACGCAAAGAAGATAATATATAATCGACGTGTCGTTAAAGCCGAAGTTTCCTAGGTGTCGGAATGAGGGACTTGACCGTGTTGCCTTCTATTTTGACGTCGCGTTGCTCCGCATCGTTCAGATCGCATGGCAATTTTGCGCAGTCCTTTGGCTTGATGGGCGAGCCGGACACGCACTCGGACGAGTGCCTCCTCGCGTGTACGTTGACGCGACGTGATGGGATCTGTTCCTGACGGACTCTTAGCGTATGAGGTAAGCGTTCAATTGGCTTGCGATGGCTCCCGGCGGGATTAAGCTCGGAGAGCAGTGATGGTCGCTGACGATCTGACGAGTCACTCCAACTGCAACCGAGAAGTTATTGCCGTGAGAAATAAAGTGGGGAGAGAATGGGAAGTGTAACAAAAAGTTTTGATTTAAGAGGATATTCTGAGTGAATCGAGTAAAAAAATTCAAGACTCACCGCACACGGCTATTCAAGGCAGCGTGAAACATAGCGGATTATAAATCGAGTATTTTATCGCAAAAAATTGGGCATGTCAAGGTAATTTATCACACATGTGTAATTTATCACACTGATGTTGAAAGAATAGATAATGTTGTTGCATGCTAGGAACGTCGATTTTATAAAGACGGATGGCAAGCAACGATCTACGATCTACGTTCATATAGTTGAAGATATTATCTTACTAAATTACTAAATTTAGTAGCGGTAATTTACTCTAAATTACTCTTACAACAAAAAAATTAGGCTCAATTACGATTAGGCGCTTTCAGTCATAATGCAATCAATTTTACTTTCGTTCTCACTGAACTGAATAATATAAATATAAAAAAAATTACATTATAATTATGTTCGAGTAAATTGCACCAAAAATATAACACAGGTAAATCATATATATATTTTTCATATATATATATATATATATATGAAAAATTATACTTTATACAATAAAATAATTACATTTATTAAAGGCTGCTATAACAAAGCGTAGTAGTTTAAAATAAATTTGACCAGCTCGTTCTGACAGGATTTGCCTCGTCGATTAGCCGAAAATTGCGAAACAAAGGAAAAGTCGGATTACTCGTTCTCATGCAAAATGTGAACGCGGTCATTAATAACGAATTGTCAAACAAGTGGCACGAAAATAAAAGAGGTGCATGAATATGAGGGCATTAAATGCAGAGAGGAGTACATATCCCAATATCAAGTCACACAGACTGACGCACTCTACCTTCCCGATCCTGAAGCTGCATCGCGTGGAATCACCCGAATAAAGGACGGGACCAGAGCAGCAAAAAGAACATTATTATTTATGATGCATAAGAGAAAATATCTAACACGATATGTGTCAGTGGCATAAGCGTAATTCGCATAAATGTAACTTTCGATCGTTGATGACAATAATTAAGCATTAAGAGATAGTTTACATCGAATGAAGATTATAGATTAAGTGTACTAAGAGTTGTTCAAAAAAAGGAGAAATTCTCACCTAACGAGAGGCCCCATGACACCATCCTGAGGGAGTGACTGTAGGAGCGAAGGCCCCGCCGATACTGGACGTGTCTACGCAATCAAACAAACAATTTCCTTTTAATCGAATGCGACGATAAGGTAACGTTAATAGCTATAACGAATCGAACGCAATCGGAAAACAAAAGCGACCACCACGATTGATAACGGCAATATAAAAGCAGAATCAATACGACGTGGTAATCGAGTAATGCTCGAGGAAATAATACCTTCTCTGTTTGCGTGGCGGCGTTAGAAGTGTGCACGGAAGGGATATTGTTGTTGCGCGTCGCTAGACTATAGCTTTGTGCGTCGCCATTCTTAGGTCCTTGAAGCTTCGACATCTGGAGCTGCGAAGATTAATATTCGATCACTTCGGAAATTCGCTTCGACAAACAATTCGCTCCGAAGACGATTACCGATTAGATCTCCGTCGAGGCGTGCTTTTTGCTTTTGGTACAGAGCGATACGATTAATCGCGAGAGAGATTTACCTCGTTATTTACCTCAAGTAGCTCGATGGTACGATCCCGCACCTGTATCGTACGATCCCGATCTTCTACCTGGCCCTGAAGGAACACTACTTGCCTCCTCAAGTCCGCCAGTTCGTCCGCGATACTGCTACCACCGCTTCCCGGTGACGTGCTCACGTCGGTCGTATTAATTCCACCATCGTTCAGGTTGCAGAAGAGGCCATTCTAAAAAAAAAAAAAAAACATCGAATGTCATTTCTCATTTAATTTAATGTCATTGAGCAAGAGTTAAATTTTATAGAAGGTAATATGCACTCACCTTCGGATTATCGAATGGATTGAGAGTTTCTGTCTAAAAGATCAATATCAGGTATTAGCATCTTGTACATTAATATTTGATGATAATTTTTATAATTTATCGCCAGGATCGAGTAAAATTATAGCAAAGATGAAAATCTCATAATAATAACGCTCGTGTACCTTTCTCTTGTAATTACAACTTTCTTATAATTAACATTTTCACGTGTGTATTTCTTTCGTAATTTCATGTACGCGTACACAACTTTCATGCGTTCATAACTTTTACTCAATCCCATGGATAAAGATATATAATATAGTATGAAAAAAAAAATATATATATATACATATCACATTATTATAATTAAATAAATATACACACATGCATGCAAACGAGGTGACAAATACGAGGTGATAAATAAAATTAGTGATAAGTGCGATAAAGAAAATCAATGCAACGTACCCTCGTCAAATCGTTCTCTCCTGACTTGAGACGCAAAATCAGGAAGGACGACGACAAAAATGAAAAATAAAAAAGATCGTGTTAATAAATGGGCAAAAACATAAATGTACCGTGTACGTATGTAAGTAACGGAATGACGGTTTGTCGGTCGTGTAAAAACAAAGATACAAATGTGTGGCGTGAATCAAAGGCGGGCTAGAGGTAAACCCGAGTCGCCTCGGCGCCGCACGTAAAACGCGCAAAACACATTTACGGGAAACGATCGCAAGAAGCGACGTGCAAAATTCTGGCGTAAGTGTAAACCAAGCGTGCGCTGTGCATTGTCATACCTCCTGAAGGACCCGCTTGAGTTTCAGGAGCATCGTCTTTATGGAGACGATATCCTGGAACATGTACTGATACGTTCCGCGGTCTATCCTGAGGCTGGCCTCGTCTCCGGAATCGACGCACGAGGATGACACCTACAATATCAGCGAAATGAGAAACGCTTCCAAATAAATCGAGTGAGAGACTGAAAGAAGCGTAGAATTCTAACTTACACTTCCCGACGTTCTCATAGGACTAGAAACTTGGCGGTTGCGCATGTTGTCTAACGAACGAGGCGATTCCGTTCCCGATCTGCTGCGTAACAGCCTTGACATCCTGTCACTTCCGATTCTGAAACAAAAAGAGCGAAATCCACTGTACTTTTACGCGTTTAATTGCGTTCAGTCTCCTTGAATCGCATCGGAAGTTCTAAAACCTTTAAGAAGAAGAGCTCTAGCAAAATCGAGGTCCTAAAAATGTTTTTTAACTATAGAGGTGTATCTCGATAAAAAAAAAAAAAAAACTAACCTGATTAATTCATCCTTCTCACTCGCTGAAAAAGGAGGTGAAACGGAACAAGATGAGAATTCTATTTATCATGCATCATGCATCGAGAAATAAATTACACATAAAAACGACGAGTATACGCTAAGTAGCAAGTTTTCTTGTAAATGTAAAATATTCAGCGGGGAACCAACAGGAAGTAAGCATATTCGCACATTATCATAATTCCCATTGTAGTCACGCTATCTCAATAATGGAAAAAAAAAAAAAAAAAAGACGAACAGACGAGCGTGCGGCGCCTAATCCCTGCGCTTCCTCGCTATCTCGTATCTCTCCTACGCTATATCTGAAACGGGTCTCCGCTCTTTTCCCGAGGGGGTGAGAAAGAGGGAGAGAGAAAGAGAGAGAAAAGCGGAGTGAAAGAGGCACTACCTTCCGGAACTATTCTTGGCTCGCGATGAGGCCGCGGCGGAAGAGGAGGCCGTGGCCGCGACGCCGATGCCCGACGTGGTGATCTGGCCGGCGCTGCCCGACGCCCTGGGCTGCCGCGGCGGCGGCGATCCGTTCGTGGGCGTCGAGCTCTCGGAGGAGAGGCCGGAGTCGTCGCGCCCGTCCTCGGCACCGGCGCCGCCGGTGCCGTTCTCCAGGCTCGCGGCGACAGCGGTGGCGGGGACGGGGACGCGGACGCGCGTCGGTAGGCCGGTGGTGCGCCTCCGGGCGCCCTTCGCGCTCTCGGACGAGGAGGCCATCCTCGCGCTCCCTCAACCGGATCGTCGGTCGCCTCCCGGTAATCGCGAGCGGGTCATCGGCCCGCTCGTAACGCTCAGAGTACGAAGGCACCGTCCAGCCTTCTCGAAGGGAATCTCACGAAGCGGAGGAGATGGAGGAGGAGAAGGATCTCACGTCAGTCCTCGTCGGCAGTTTCTCCTCGACGCGCTGTGCTTAACGCGCGAAAGGCTGTCGCGCCTTTGTTATGTTTATTGCTGGACGTGGACAGTCCGCCGGCGAGGTTCGCTTCGCGCGCGGGAAACGAGATAATGTAAATAGAGGATGCGGCACGGACGGGCATATTTAGCCGCGGACGGAATGCGCGTCGCGAAGGAGGCTGTTGCAGTCGAAGGAGAAAAGCGGGAACGGGGAAGAAACGTGCGATAGGATGAGAAACGAGGAACTTTAATGAAGGAGGACCCGGCGCGGGAGATCCAGCCGCGGCTGGGGCGATGAGTAATTCGATAGACACGCAGTCACTTTCCCGAGACGCGGCCGCGCGCTCGCGCGCCGAATTATTACGCGTGTGCGTTTCGCAATCTTCTTGCGCCGAGTTACGCAAATTCGATCGCGATCGCGAGCGCGCGGGGATTGTGACGATTATACGCTCAGCTCGCCGATATCACATCAAAGATGAAGCTGCAACGAGATAACGAACGTAAATGGAAACTCGTTTACGGTCGGACTCGGCAGCCGCAGGTAAACGGGCGGTGCGGCCGAGGAGGGGAAAAGGAAAAAAAAAAATAGAAATCCAGTGAACGTGATCTATAGATCGATCTAGATCGCCGCTCGGATAGCGGTAACGCAATATTTTGCGGACTGACTAACGAGTCTCTCTCTGTCTTTCCCTTTTTTTTTTCTACACACCGCGAGTTATTTGCGCTGTAAATTATCGAGCGGTCGTTAAGCGCGTCGGAAAATTGCGCATCTGTTCAAGTTAGTTTCTGGAGACGAGAATAATTTATTTATCTCGCTCCCACCCCCGTAATTTATCGTGTCTCTTCAACACACTCCCGGCTAATTGCGTCGCCATAACTCGCTCGTTAGCGCTTCCACTCTTCCCTACCTCGTTTTTTTTTCATTTTCATAACAATCTCAGACCCGGACTCGGAAGGAGTTGAGTCATCCGGTCGCAAGTGAAAGTTATCCTATCGAAATCTCCACCGGAACGTTTGCCATTTTTCCGCAAAAGCATCCCGTGCACGTTTCAAGCAGCGAATCAAACGACTACCCGTCGAGTGCGGTCATTTCATTTCTCCCCCACGAAAAATTTGAATATGTCACTTCTTTAATGAACCTCCAGCCGAGTGTTTATTTCATTCCGGTGGGAAATCAGGCCATCCCGACGCGAACTAAATAATTGGAGGAGGCTTCCGTGCTGAAACGGCGCAACGCAATTTCGGCAATTTTCTCCAAAGCGGCACCATCGCGTGATAAGCGATGTAGTTCGCGCTAATCCGATTAATCGATTCACCGCGAGGACAGCGTAGGTTTATGTTTCGCGACTATTTATAAACTGCGAACCTTAATGCCATGTTAAATATACGACCGCGGCCTCGTGTGGTCCGGTGTATCATAATAAATGCACCCGCGATACCATCCGAGACCAGGAGGATTCACGTGACAGCGCGACAAGGAGAGAGAGCGATAAGGGCCAAGAACGCGGCTGCAGAAACGACCGAAACGAACAAAGGAGGAAAAGGAAGAGACCGTCTCGTCTTTTCTACCTGGACTTGGCCGAACGTCACACTACGTTCCCGCGCGACTCGCGGCGGGCCAGGATCGAGAATTCCCGATGGGAATCCTGGTCGACACCCGCCGCGAAGTAGGCTCTCATAGGCACAACACTCTCGCGCTCGTCAAACGGAGTTTTTCACTTTCGTCGCGTCGGGAGACCCGGTCCGAGACGCGAGGCGTCCACCCGTTGGACGTCGCATCTAGGAGTCGCCTCGTAGTCCCCTTTCTCGTCGTCGTCGGGAGGACTTCCTCGCGAGGAACGCGAGGACACCTCCGCGCGAGGATTTCGGACACGGACGGCGCCGCGACGCTGGCCGGTGCGTTCGCCGGAGTGACCTGCGGCGGCCACCGGCGGGTAGATACAGAATCAGGATCACGTAGGACACCCTCGGCCGAGGGGGATACACACAAGGAACGCGTGCGCACCTCGCACTACGGCGACGAGCTCGGTTCGATATCTCGTCGTCGCGGTGGACGGCGAGAAGAGAGGAGAAAGAGAAGTCGGAGAGGAGGTAGGGAAGAACGGTAGGGGGAACAGCTGCAGACAGCAGGGAGGAGGTGGTGAACGCGAGATTGGTGGGGGTGATAATGCAAAAAGCTGCGGGAACTATTGCGATACCGAAGTTTAACGATACCGATCTTCCCCGCGGGAGACGACTTCGTCTCTAAACTCGTGGGTTTCCCGACCTCTTCCCTCCTCTTGCTTCTCATTATTGTAATAGTTTACGCTTGACGAGGAGATCCTTTCGTTTTCTCAGTCGGAATCTCATCGGAGCTAATGAGCCTCGAACAACTCTCAATAAAATCCTATTGCAAGGAATAAATGTAAAGGACCGTCGGACTAACTAATTATCAAATTCACGCTATTCCCATAGTCCAAATTCAGCGAGATGAATATTTCATTAACTGTCAGTTCTAATTGGACAGTTGTGATCTGCTAAAATTAATATCAGCGGGGTCAACGACTAGCTTCGTCCATTAGGAGCGGCAAATGGCTTTTCAATCGACATGTAGAAAATTTATTCCGATATCAAATCGATATTATCCAATCAGAGTGTCGCATTTCCTTATTTATATACATAAATAGTTTATGTAGAAAATATAGGAACGTAGCACAGCTTGATCGGACAATATTAATTTTACAGATATTTTACAGATATGTTTTACATAAAATTCCATTTTTTAAATATATGTTAATAAAATTCCATTTCTTAAAGCATCTGTAGACAGCAAGGTTCCCGTTTATAATTGTTTTATCAGCCGTATCGGGGACCTTGTGACTCAAGTGCTTCGTCATCGAGCGCACGCGATAGGAGGAATTTGTAACAGTCGATAGCAATCTAATTCCAAATCGTCGAGATACTTCCGCTCATTGAAGCACGTCCCAAAGGATTTTTCTCCCGAACGATTTCAAGGTTTTTGTCGAGAAAGCCATTTGCGGATCGGCCCAACAATGAGGATTCGCTCGCCACCGAGACGATCAATACTCCAGCTCCAGCTGGTCCTTTGGCCCTTAAAATCACGATTCACAGTCATCGTCTGCCCTCCTCTCGCCCCTCGATTCCCGATATGATTTTCCACCGACTTGGCTCCAGCGGAACGAGAATTTATAAGACTCCCCAAGGTTTTTCGTGCCTGACGATATTATAACTTGGCACGCACTTCTCGATTCTCTTCACGAGCGGTCTACCGGAATCCTGCACCCTCGGGAAATCCCTCGTGGCTCTTTCCCTTTCGTCGAGCATCTGCGAGCTCCCTGTCTGCGTTTTGTAATAAATTATCCCGCGGGGGAGGCCGCCCGAGATCGATTCCGGAATATTTGCCGAGGCAATTTCCCCGCTTCGTTGTTCGTTTTTATAAAAGCAAATATATTTATTATACGTATAGTAACTATTATAGTAACTATTATATATTATATATTATATATTATATATTATATATTATATATTATATATTATATATTATAGTAACTATTATATATATTTTATTTAAAAATAATATATATATATATATATATATA